TATATATATATATATGAGTGTGGTGTGGATATGTGTGTGTGGCTGTGTGTGTGTGTGCGCGCGCGTGTCTATTATTGTGCTAGTAATAGTAAATACAGAGCCATTTGTTCGGAATGAGTTGCTAGAAATAGCAAGATTTTATGTCCTCGACAAGTAGATGGTAGCTGCTTTAGGGGCAGTTTCTATCTCTTTTTTTTCCCCTCCGCAGAAAACCAGTGGCCCTCAAGATAAATGACAGCAGTGCCCTGAATTACCTCATATAGCTCGTCCTCTCGTGGCAGAACGGCTGAACCTTAACACATAAGAAAGGATAATAACTTTAATGTAAAAAAACACATGCAAAAAACAGCCTTTCCAGTTTATTCAGAGTAATGATTTATGACAGACAAGATATTGCTCAACCAATCTATTGCTCCCGTGAACAGACAAAAAAAGACTACAAAGATATCTTAAAATAAACTGACTGGCGAAGAGAACTGATTGCACCATCAAAAGGAAATAATGTCACGAGATGGAGAAAACTGAAGCACATCGCGAAAGTGGGGAATTTGGAAGAGAAAAGATATGCTATTGTATGGAAGTTCATCTGTGTCAGAAATGACTAAAATTACACAATACAAAATGTGGATAACGCAAAGCGGCATGCGACATGAGAAATAGTTTATATTGCTTAGGTTACTCCTCTAGGTCAATAAAGCAGATGCAACATATTGTCTTTGTTAAAAAGTAGAAATTAGAATATTAGCTTTTCATACAAAACGTTGAAAATGGGCTCTACTTTTGCCTACTTTAATTTACTTAAAAGTCAGATGTGCCAATAATACACTAAAACTAATACATTATTTGGATAGTTTAGCAAATTAAAATGTTAACAGTAGTAAGTGTGATCGATTATACCATTGTAGGTACTTGTAGTGGTGAAATACTAGTTTGTTTAAAAGCTAAGGAATTGTGTGTGACCACAGTCCTTGTTATTACCATAACTTGCAACGGCTATTAGACAAGATGAGTCCTGGAGAATTCCAGTGACATTTGGAATGTTTTATGTGGAGAAATGCAACTGAATTTACTGGAGAAAATTATTCATGTAGAATGCCCTAACTAATAATGTGAATCAAAAACATAAACAACAACATATAATTTAAAAAACACGGCTTATACACACAATTACAAAGTTAGAATTGGAAACTAGGATAATGTAGAAAGTAGAATTCTTGACTGTCATTTTGGTGTTCGGACTTATGAATTAACGTCAATGGATTTATTATAATTTGTATTATTGCTCCAACACTGATCTTCTGTTCTTCTCCAATTTAGTCTTAAATGTCTAAAGAGGAAAAGAAATATTTTAGGTAATGAAAGCAATTGGCTTGAAAGTAATCAAATTATATATATCGAATTACCATAGCTCTATTGACACCGACCTAATGAGCCAAAAGGATAAAACATGGTCTTTACTTTTCCTTACTTACACCAGAGTTCACCTACCACTGGCATAATAAAATGGTCATTTGTGTGTATGTATAACTTCAGTTATGAGGATGGAGATAAAGGCAATCACTGAAGTTCTAAAGTGGTTAGCAGAAAATAAAGTAACCAGATAGATTATAGTGACTGATTCTCAGTCGGTACTGTGGAAGATTCAGAAGGGACAAATTTGGAATTATAGGATGCAAGGCATAAGCATGACAACATTACAATACATTGCCGGATATTTATGAGTGCGACAATGTGAATTGTTCAGCATACATGAACTGAATTCTCAACTTTTAAAAAGTTCGATCATGTCGGTTTTTTTTTTTTTTTTTTCTCTGAACACAACTGCTGAATTTCTTAACTATAAAACGTCACATCAAGTAACTTGTTGAAGACTAACTGTATTGTTTGAAATAAAATTACTATCTTTTTGTCAATTGTTTTATATGTATCAATTAAAATGTTTGCTGCTGCTTTTGCTTCTACTCCTGCTCTCTCTCTCTCTCTTTCTCTCTCTCTCTCTCCCCCCTCTCTCTCTCTCTCTCTGTGTGTGTGTGTGTGTGTGTGTGTGTGTGTGTTTAGAGCTGTACTGAACATTTGCTTCGTATTCGTTTCGGGGCCGAATAAAGGGACCTAATAACTATTCGGTATTCGGCCGAATACTTGCGGTAGGGTCAAATACGAATAGTATTACAAGAAGGCTCCGACACTGATATCAAGCCAGTGGATTCTAGCAACAAGAATTGTTGCAATTCTGCAGCCGTTTGAACAACTGGCACGTGATATAAGCGGCAATAATGTCTATTTTTCAGTAATCCTACCAGCTGTTCAGGCTATCTTGTTGTATGTTTAGAAAGATATGTGTGACGAGGGCATCAAAAAGACAGCCAGAGAACTTGTAGCATCAATGACGGGGAGATTTTCAGACTTGTATGAAAATAGCTTGTATACAGTCTCAGCTAAAGTTGTATCCAGTTTCGTCCTTTTCAGGACGAAATTTTTTGTCATTTGAAGCCCTACTCTGGCTTTTGCCAGGGGCCGCAATATAGGCAGGCCATAAATATGGCCAAATGTCTGAACGCGGTTTCTGGGACCTCTCCACGGCGATCCTCATCCGCATGGTGGCACTTTGTGTCATCGGGTGTTTATCGCTTGTGTGATGTCCTGGTGGGGTAGAAAGTCAGTCAGTCAGTCAGTCTCAGCTGGCTTGGATCCAGGCTTCAAACTCCGTTTTTTGACTAAAGTGCAGCAAATTACAAGCTAAGACAAACATTGTGACTCCTACATTAAATTACTAGTCATCGACATATACAACCACAGTCGAGAATTCTGAAGTTTTTCCTGCAGCTGACAGAGAACTCACAGCCACCCCCCCCCCCCCCCCCCCCCCAACCCAATTAAAAAAAAACCGTAACGACTTTTGTACCTTGTGGAATCAGTTGCAGCCTGTTGAGGTACACAATAGCGACATTCAAGTTACCATTGAAACAGAATTGAATAACCACCTGTCAGAGCCGTGTATCCCATAGACACAGACCCATTGGATTGGTGGAAAATACACATGCCCAGATTTCCCACTTCGGTTCATTTTGTAAAGCATAGTACTGCTGGAAATAACTTCAATAAGACGAGAAGCTGCCTTAATGCTGACAACACGGAACGACTGGTTTTGCTGAAAGCTTATGCCGCTTTCATGCATTAACTAAGCTGTCAGTGACAATTTACAAGTTTAGTTACTTGTTTAAATACTTAGAATACTTTCATTCCTAGTTATTAGTTACTACAGACTGACTGAACGATGCAAAACATAAAATGTTTTGAAATGTTTACTTTTCTGTACTACATTTTGTGGGAGTCACCGTGGCCAAGCGGCTAGACGCTCACTGCGAATCGGAAGGTCGTCGGTTCACTCATTGCCGGAGCCGGATTTTTCAAAAATGACTTTCGCTCATAGGTCTACCCAGCCTTGAGTGGGTACCGGGTGCAGTCCCGGAAAGTAAAGGCGGCCGGCATGATGCTGACCACATCACCCATTGTGTGCCGATTGGTCTATACAAATATAGGTCTAGCGCTTAATGCCCTATACGCCTAGAGGCGTGGACAAGTGTCCTTGACTTTTTTTTTTACATTTTTTGAAGTAAAAGTTCAGCGTCCATTTGACATTTTGAATGTGTGTGGTTTTTTTTTTTTTTCCAGATCAAATTAATACACTATACACTATTTGTATTTGTATTCGGCCGAATAGGTGGTCCCGTTATTTGTATTCAGCGAATAGTGATAATCACCTATTCGGTGCAGCTATATATATATATATATATATATATATATATATATATATATATATATATATATATATATATATATATATATATATATATATATATATATACTTGAACAAAAAAATTTCTTCAATGCAACATATTTCAGATTCACCAACTAGATTGTCTCAACCGTATAATAATGTTGTCTCATTTCACTTCCACAGGAATCTAGAGATTCAGAGACTACACGACATTTCCAACAGCATAAGAAACAGCTACATTTGGGTTGTCTTTGCCCTCGGTTTCCCAGGCAACATTTTCAGCGTCATTACTATCTTAACCATGCAGAACGTAACACCAGCAACGTTTTTCATCTCAGTCTTGGCACTCTGTGACGGTTGTGCCCTGACAGTAAAACTCATTGGCCACCAATTATTGACTCATGAGGTTTACTTTGGACATGTCGGCTGCAAATTTCTGTTTTTCCCTGTGTTTCTAAGTATGCTGGCTAACTGGATACTGGTAATGATCTGCGCCGAGAGGTTCGTGTCCGTTTGCTTTCCGCTGCAGAAGTCAATCATTTTTACCAAGAAGAGAAGCTACGCATGCGCGTTAGCCTTGACATTAATACTTCTAGTTCTTACTGGTGGCTTATACGGGGTTATGCGTGGTGCGGATGATAGTGGTCTAAACTGTGGGACGCTGGATGAGTATTACTCCTTCTGGATAAATGGATGGTACTGGATCAACATGCTTGTGGTACTTTTCATCCCTTTCGTCAGTATTGTGGTCTTGACGGGGCTATTCATTCGAGGCCTATTCCAGGCTCGGCGACAAAGGCGGAGAGTGCTTTTAAACGGAAGAGACAAACAAGAGAACAATGTGCGACTTGTGGCTGAAGTGGAGAGAATGGAGAGAACCATAACAGTGATGTTGATTCTAGCAGCAGTGGTCTTCCTGGTCTTGTCTTTGCCTTCCTGTATCTACATCGTGGCAGTCCCTCGAAGTATGGATCCATTAACCAGAGCTAGATGGAAAGTTTTTGACAAGATCCAGTACGTCCTGATCGATTCCACTCACGCTGTGAATTTCTTTCTCTACTTTCTCAGTCTCAAGCGATTTCGTAACCAGTTTTTCTACATCCTCACGTGTAAGAGAAGGAGTAGGCGTCGTCGAATTAGTAGGAACAACGATACGAATAATTCACTAGACACGACGAAATACACTTTGAATAAATCTGACGAAAATGTAAGTCATCTGTAAATGTTGTTTCAGAAACTGAAACACATAAAAAAAATTTAAAAAAAAAACGTTTGAGTTTCACAACTGCCTAAAAGACATCAGAAGTACTACTACATTATTTTGCATTCAAGACATGGTTGAATTACTGTGGTATGCCAATTTATTTATTACATTTCATGCCAAGAACAGATGATACAAAATATGTCTTATATTGCATTTTTAACAATTCTGTTTTTAAAGAAACTAAAGCGTGGAATTACATGTATATTCACTAATCTGATCCAACAATTTTGCACCCACAAGAGACGCTCTCTTAACTTCACTGAGGTATGACGACTAGCTGACTCCATTTAATAAATTAACGCAGAAACGAAAATATTAGAAAACAGGGGACATTCTTATTGTAGCTATTGGGACACCATTTTTATGAGGGAATCAATTTGCGCTGTTGTGTCAGCTTCACACTTGACCTTGCAGCTTTAATTAATGACGTAGTTCTACACCAGCCAGGGATGTGTGAATAATATTCCCAAAGTTTCGAGTTTGAATCCGCACTGATGTGGATGTTAATAATTGACAGGGGCTGGTTGAATTACCAAGCCTTAAAAGAATACTGGGAAATGTCCTAGCAAGTAAAAGCTCTGATTTTTCGTATAAAATTCCAACGGTGAACCCCTGGAAGTCCTATATTATTAAAGAGGGTTGGGGAGGAAAAAAAGGGGGGGGGGAGGGGAGTGGTGATGTGAGGGTAGGGTTAGTGTTAATCAGTGCTTTAAAAAAAAAAAACTAACCCTAAAACACTAAAACCCCTGGAACGCATAACGTTAATCACCCCACTCCCCGCCTTTATACACACCAGCTAACTTCTGATTAGTCGTTCCTGAGCCCCGTAACCTTCGCACAAGGTCAGAGGGATGTTCCTCGATATCGTTGACATCGCGTGTTGTATATGTCATACGCCAGAGCACTAAACGCTCCGAAAACATAGATTATCTGACCCTATTACTACTCCCTCTAGAGAGGGCTGCAACCTATGACTCGGGCATTCTCTTTCTCGAAATGAAAACGTAAATGCAAGATTTCGCAGAAATCAAATATCAGAGCGGTACACATCCGTAACCTTCAGTAAAGTCGACCAGCCTACAAAACTTGTAAATAAAAAGTTACCTACTCTATTTTGTAAGACTAACGTCGAACTAACCGACAAAGAAACTGATCCCTAACGTAAGTAAGTAAGTAGGTTGTATTCCGTCAGGACATCACACAGAGCAATAAATATCCAGTGACACAAAGTGTCACCATGCGCATGAGAATCACCTGTGGAGCGGTCCTGGAAGCCACGTCCATCAGTTAGGCTATATTAGGGCCCTCAGGGTGGGGCTTTAAAATAACGAAAAATTGTATTACGTGTTAGGACAATGAAGAAATAATACTGATGGCTAAAATAAACCCTCTTTAACACATGAATGTCTGAGAAACTTCCTAAAAATTCCCTACGAAATCTGGGAGTCCCCGATATGGTGTAAAATTACAGAATAGAGTTCGCGAATGACGTGTTTACTACATTATTAATTAGATGTCGGTTACTTTAATAAAATTGGGGGAAAAAAAATGTTTTTTGACGCATCCTTTACTTATTATAATTAACACCGATGATTATTGTGTATTAAGTATATGTGAGTTCATATGCATTTAAGATGCTTTTTTGCATAGTGAATGTCCCCTGTTTCTTCAAGTATAATGGGACCTGTTGAATATTCGTGATCAGAATGCTTTGTCCATTGTTTTTCCTCAGCGAAATTCTATAATTTCGGAGGGTGCTACTTGGTCTCGAGCCATAGTGTCCGCCTCGAGTGCTGTAGATTCCGGGTTCAATCCTCGGTGAAGGCTGGAATTTTGTGTTCAAGTGGACTTGGACTTCTTGTAATTCCCCCTGGTCTCTGGGTAGTGAGATCGGACGCCCGTGTGCATTGTTGCGTCCATAACAAATCCTTTGGCAGTTGGAAATCGAAAAGAGTAGCCCAATGGCGCTGCCCGGACAAAATTTGAAGTAAACAATCTACCCAAAGTATTTAGAATCCTTAGCGGTGCTACAGAGCCTGTGAACTGTGCAGAGCGTCTACAGACTCAGACTTGAGTTAGAGGAAGAAAGGAACACTTATGGATTACTCTCCGTGTGGGTACCGTTTCCCTATTATAGGGAAAACGAGAATAGACCCACTGTCTACCCAAAAAGCATGTCGTAAGAGTTGACTAATTGGGAGATTTCTTCGAAGTCGGAATGCATCTGCTTGAGAGGCAAGGAACCAACAGTCTGCATACACATGAGTCAGATCTGTAAAACGGATGCAAACGTAACACTCAGGTTTTTGAACAGGTCTGCTGTTCAGAAGTGGGCGAACAACCAGAATTTTCCATCAGAGTTTACAGCTGGTGAACGCTAAGACGAAGAAGACTACCCATGTGCCATGATGTTGGTCCGTTGTTCAAACCTCAACCTATAATTTCGGCTTAAAAGAAAATTTATAAATGAGCATTTTCCCTGAAACTGATACTTTTAATTCTTCCTAACAACGTGAACTGAGTTTTGCGACAAAAATTAGAAAATTTGACGACATGGAATGCACCCTTTTATCCAGTTTCGTTTGGCAAGATTTTTTTGAAGAAACTGTATTTATGATTGCATGATTAATATATCCCATTTAGTTGAAGCTGTTAAAAGTTAGTTGCATGTCCTTTACAGAACGTTGTAGAACAATTCTAAGCATTGTGTGACTATTGTGGGTATTGTAGGCAAATCTACGTTCATTAGTTTGACACTGCTTACTAAACGCCTGGCTCTCGATACCAGTCAGAACTAATGCAAGGCGGCCTGCTGCTAGATCACCTGCCGCTGGGATCGAACCATGCACCCTTGCGAGACGAAGCACGTTCTTAACGTCTCAGCCACAGAAGCCGACGTTACAACTATACACATTAATATATTAGGTCAGGGGTACACATGAGAATATCAAATCAGGAAATTCTTGCCCAGAACTATACTTGGTGATTCCATTTGGATATGTATTAATACACCAGTACTGTGTATCATACGACTATCACACACAGACATAATCAGAACTTTCACTTTACTAAATATTTGGTAAGATATGTGTCAACTGGTGACAAACACGTTATATGACATGTCAAGCTAAGGTTTAGGACATACATATTCAAACAAATAACTGCATATAAGGATCGCAATTCAGGAATTGGCGAAGGGCACGTGTGCGCACGCAAACTCACGGGCGCGCGCATATTTAAAACGAATGTGTCTCATAACTGATGCATTAAGACAGACGTAAGATCGTGGAAGTTTTCCTGTGAAATGCATTGGCGACAAGATCACTCCTTGACTCGCAGGTAGGCGACTTCGTCGCTCGTCGAAACGTGGTTTTGCAAGAGTTCTTTTTTAGTGCTTCTTGAAATACCTAGCAGGTCAAATAACTCAGTAAAATACTTCCTGATAGATATAACAATCCAGAGTAAGATGCAGAACGCAATCTCATTCAAACACGTCTTACCGCAAGGCTCATCGTTGAGCTGTATTTGGTTTTTAGTATGCACAGACTTGCCAGAACAAATCAAGACTGAAAAGCCTCCTACGCTGAAGATCTAGCAATATGGTAGAATCATGCAAATGTAGAAAGTGAGGCCAAAAGACTCAATGGAGACCTTAGAAGACTGCACAAGTACTGCCAAAGATGGAAACCCAAAGGTTTACTATACAAAGACGGTCTACACAATCTTTACCAAAAGCCATTAATTAGCAAGGAAGAATATCAACCTGAGTTAGATAGGCACCGGGTGATGAAAGAAGAACATCTTACGTACCTTGGAGTCACACTTGACTGGCAGCTGAGCCGCAAGAACAATACTGAAAGTAAAGGAATAAAGCACTGAGGCGGTTGGCGGTTACAGTTATTGAAGGGACGTATAGGTACTGCTTGGGGATCAAACAAGGAAACTCTGAGGGGCGTGTATCTTGGAAATGTTCGCTCTGAGATAGAGTATAACAACTCACTGCTTACAGCAGGCTCCACGAAGCAGAAACTAGTGCACTGGAAACAGATACCACCTAGATATTGTAATGGATGTTTATCTTTCATAGGTCCAAAAGGCTGTCATCTTCACTGATTCAATGTCCGCTCTACACGCTCTGGGGAACAGTGACCGTTGCAGAACTGACATAGCCAAGATTAACATGGATGCTGATCATCTCTTCACCTCATACAACATCAAAATTGTGATGTAGTAGTTCCAAGACAGTATGGCACGCCAGGTAATGACAGAGCTGACAGAGTTGCGATGAAAGTTTCGACACAAGAACACCACCCATAGCGGCCACTCTACAGACAGCAAAATCAGTTATAAGACTATACAAACCAAAACAAAAACAAAAACAAAAAAACAAAACAAAAATGATCTGACTGAACAGATGGGCCATGAGAGAAACTGGAAGAGAGGTTTACATGCATATGCCTGACCCTGATCCTAACAACAGCATCAACCATCTAACACGGATGGACCAGAACGCCATCTTCAGATTCAGAATTAACATTTTCCATTCAATGGACATCTAAACAGAAAACAGCCACAACACAGCCTAGATTGACAGATTTGTTTACTACCTCTACCAAACTGTCGACGATAATCTCTATGAGTCCGATAATTTAGCGAGACTAGAAGAATGCTACTCATTCAGGCAAGTGGAAAATTTTGTAGGGAGGAAACCATCAACTTGTGAAAACATGTAAATTCCTCTACATGCACAAGTAAGTAAAGTAAAGTAAAGGACCCTTTTCCACGCCTTTAGGGCTAGACCTTTATTTTTTATAGACCAACGACACAAGATAGGTGATGTGGTCAGCATCACGCCGGCCGCCTCTACTTCCCGGGACTACACCAGGTACCCACTCCAGGCTAGGTCGACTTGGGAGCCAAGGTCATTTGTTTGAAGAAAAGTACGGCTCCGCCAGGGA